AACTTTTATTGCTTATTATATATTGTAACGGTTTGGCTCTACGGACGAGACAGTGTCAGGGTTTGCCACAACAGTACGAGACAACGAACCGTCAAGGTGACAGGAAACCCAACCTACAATCGGGCAGGCTGACAGAAACTTGGAGAAAGTGTGAGGAATGATCGAGAACGGTCATGGAAGCGGTTACCATGGATTATTGATGATATGACACTGTCAATTTGGGAGTGGAAGATAGAAAGCCGGTCAGCGCGTGGCGGATCAACGCTTCAATTGTAAATAGTAATAATTGTAAATAGTTTACGCGTTCGGATAGTTATTTTTTTGTATTTTAATTAAATAAATAGTTTCAACCCACACTCGTGTTACAATTGGTGTCAGGTGTGGGGTGAAGAAAGAAGATGTCTAAGAAGATAAATCTGTTGCTGGTTGCAGAGCTCAGAAGAGAGCTAGAAGAACTTGAGCTAGACACGACGGGACCCAAGACGGTGTTGGTAGCACGTTTGAGGGAGTACTACGAAAGTCGAGGTGACGATCCTGATGCCATAGAGTTTGAAGATCCCTCCCTGAAGGCTGTGAAGTCCTTTATCCACGCCGAGCTGTCTACGGAGATGTCCCTTCAGAGAGATGAGCTTGCCGAAAGGATGGCCAACCTGTCCACCGAGATGTCCCTTCAGTCTACGAGGGTTAATGAAAAAGTTTCTAAACTCTCCACCGAGATCTCCGATCAGCGAAATAAGCTTGCTGAAAAGATGACCAGCCTGTCCTCCGAGATGTCCAGCATGTCCACGAAGGTTCATGAGGTTAATGAAGAAGTGTCCAACCTATCCCGGGCCATGGCTAACCAGGCAGCAGAACTGCGAGCAGAAATTTCCAACAGGAAGAAAGAATATCCGGTGTGATTGCTCAGCAGGAAGAAAGAATAACCGGTGGATTGCTCAACAGGAAGAAAGAATATCCGGTGTGATCGCTCAGCAGGAGGAAAGAATATCCGGCGTCGAAGAAGAGATTCAGAAATTACAAGATTTCCTGTCCAATCCGCCACCTCCTGGAAGCAGAGAAGAGGGACCCAACCCCGTGGTAGAAAGGCTGAAGAGCAATCTTTCAACTCTCGAGATCAAGCTCCATGCGATCGAAGAACGATTCTCTCGTCAGTCTTCAAGAGGTGAAGATCGACGAGACTTCGGCGCTGTAGGTGAGACCAAAGCCAGAATGAAGCCACCTACCTTCGACGGCAAGACCTCCTGGCCCAACTATCTCAAGCAGTTCAACGCAGCGGCCGACGCCAACGGATGGTCCCCTGGGGAGAAGGCAGTAGCACTCACAGTTGCCCTACGTGGTGATGCTTTAGATGTCCTGCAGACCCTCCATGCCGACGAGTCCAAAGACTTCGATCAACTGGTGAAACGTCTAGAGATGAGGTACGGCCAAGCACACCTGGAACAAGTCTACCAGTCCCAACTTAAGAATAGAAGACAGAAGGCAGGTGAGTCCATCCAGGAGTTCGAAGCCGACGTTGCACGGATGGTACGCTTTGCCTATCCCTCGGCCCCTGAAAGCGTACTCGAATGCCTAGCTGTCCAAGCGTTTGTCGATGGAATGAGAGACCTGGAGTTGCAGAGAGCACTGCGCCTAGCCCGTCCCAAGGTCCTGGTGGATGCACTGTCAACGGCGTTGGAGTTTGAAGCAGCAACTGCAGCGTCCCGTGCCCATGACCGAGTCCGAGCCGTCACCAGCCACTCCAGCGAAGAGGAACACCATGGAGAGTCCAACAGGGAGATCCTAGAACAGCTGGTGAGCCTGATGAAGACTATGGCGACGAAGAAGAGGAGATCAGTACGATGTTGGAGCTGCGGAGAACTTGGTCACGTCAGAAGTACATGCCAGCATCGTGAGAAGATCACCCAAGATGACCCCAGGCAGCCGGGAAAACTAGAACGGGTCGACTCCAGGAGGGCGACATCGACCCGAAGTAGCCTACAAGACCCTCTCCTCGTCCTGGTTTCACTGAGTCACCGTCCCAGCAGCATCTATGTAGACGGCACCGTAGACGGCAAGAGGTATTCAATGCTGGTGAATACCGGAGCAACGAAGACCATCGTCCGCCGAGGAGTCGCCAGGAAACAGAAGATGTCACTCACCAGGTGGCGATTACGAACCGCTACAGGGGAAGCAGCCAAGGTCAACGGTGAGGTAGACGTAAGAATACAGTTTGGTTCCACCCATGTTTCGCACCCTGCCTTAGTAGCCGACATCGAAGAGGAAGTCATCTTGGGAATGGACATTATGGATATCTATGGCTTCCAGCTAGACTTGAAGCAACGAGTCATCCACATCGGCGCCGAAGAGTTGATTCTGCACCAACGTGAGACAGCCGAAGACGTCGAACTCCCAGCAAGATGTGAGTCCATAACCGTAGCTCGTCTGAACGGGTCCATCCAAGACGGAATTCCAGCCATGGTGGAGCCCAGAAACCACGACCAGGAGCTAGGAAGAGGCATCCTCGTTGGTAAGGCACTAATCAAGTCCGCTGCAAGCGTGCCTGTTCGTCTCATCAACATCAACGACCATCCAGTCACCCTCAAGAAAGGCGCTCAAGTAGGAACTTTCGAGCCAATAACAGCAGTGATTCACCAAGGGATTGCTGAGGAAGAACGGAAGTCAGACAAACTCGGACAGATCCTAGCCACTGTCGGTCCATCCCTGTCTCAACAAGAGAGGAAGAAGGTGAGAGACCTAGTCAACCGCTACCGTTCCATTCTGGGTTCGACGGATGGCAGACCAGGAAGAACCAGCATAGTAAGATACAAAATTGACACTGGCGAGGCGCGCCCTATCCGCCAAGCTGCTCGACGACTGTCAAGAAGGAAGGGTCAACACGGTTCTGCGTCGACTACCGCAGGCTCAACGATGTCACTAAGAAGGACAGCTACCCTCTGCCAAGAATTGACGACGCCCTAGATGCACTAGCGGGGTCCAAGCTGTTCTCTACCCTGGATCTGAAGAGCGGTTATTGGCAGGTAGAAATGGGTCCCGCCGACAAAGAGAAGACGGCGTTCACCAGCGGAACTGGTCTGTGGCAGTTTACAGTCCTTCCATTTGGTCTTTGCAACGCTCCAGCCACTTTTGAACCACTGATGGAAAACATCCTCAGGGGTTTATCCTGGAAAACCTGTCTCGTTTATTTAGATGATGTCATCATACTGGGGCGGACGTTTGACGAACACCTGCTAAACCTCGAAGAGGTTTTCAAGAGACTTCAAGCTGCAAACCTGACGTTAAACGTGAAGAAATGCCACCTGTTCCAAACCGAGGTCAGCTACCTAGGACATATAGTTAGCAGAGAAGGTGTCGCCGTAGATCCAGACAAGATTCACGTAGTCGAGCAATGGCCATTCCCCTCCGATAAGCACCAACTGAGAAGCTTCCTTGGACTTTGCTCTTACTACCGCCGCTACGTCAAGATGTTCGGAGACATCGCCAAGCCGTTGACCCGATTGACTGAGGAAGGTAGAAGCTTCAGCTGGGATGAAGAATGCCAAGAAGCCTTCGACGCTCTGAAGAAACAGCTGACGTCGACTCCGATCCTAGGCTATCCACTTCCCGAAGGAAAGTTCATCCTCGATACAGATGCCAGCAACGTGGGAATCGGTGCCGTTTTATCACAGCTCCAGGATGGTTGGGAAAGAGTCCTTGGTTACTTCAGCAAGACGTTGTCCAAACCTGAACGTAACTACTGTGTCACCAGGCGAGAACTTCTAGCAGTGGTGAAGTCCGTTGAGCATTTCTACAAGTACCTGTATGGGCGAAGGTTCCTGATCAGAACTAACCATGCCAGCTTGAAGTGGTTACTTAATTTCAAGAATATGTTATATGTGAAAATAGTGACCTTCATCTCAATTAACGTTGCACACGCGTATCAGGTTACGAAACGCAATTAAGGACGGTCGCGTGTGTCAGCAAGTTCTAGTGAACAAAGAAAACACTTACAGTGCAAAATAGACAGAGACTATAAGTAGGAGTAAAATAGAAAAGTAGTCAGTTGTTAATTAGATTTAAAACAAACTCATGTATTTGTAACAATAAAAAATAAATCTTTTTTAAAAAGTCGTTTGAAAAAGTAGTGATTTAACATATATATATAGGAATGATTTTTTGTGCACTAAATTAGATTAGGTTTTTTATACCGAAAATGTATGTGTAGGATTTCTGATCTCTCTCTCATTCTTTCTCTTTCTTTGACTACCCTCTCAAGCCCAGTATTCTTTGAATTTGTATTTTCAACTCTGAACTTTCGTTTTCGATACCAGGATTTCTCCAAATTCTGTTTTTATATACTAAGAGTGTGGGTCTTCGATTGGAGATCGAACTTGGGACAGAAGCGGCACTTTACATACTACTGTTTTAGGTTCATTTTATTTATTTTTTATAATTAGATGTTTAAAATTTTTTGGTATTGACTTACTTATATTATTATATAAGCAGTGTCGGATTGATATTTCCAAGGATTTTTAGTCAGGAAGAAGATAAATTAATTTTTTTCTGATTTAATTTTTATTGAAAAGTTTAAAAAAGTTTTTTTTTATGTATTACTAGGAAATTTGTCTTCAAGAGTTTGCTGTTTGATTCTGAGTCTACTGATTAAATGAGGAGTTATTGTTTTATTTTAGGTTTATTATTTGAACGAGAGCTTATTACTTGAACGAGGTTTTATTAGTTTTTTTGTCTAATACATTAATAGTCCAATCCGACACTGCATACAATTGTTGATAAAAGTAATTATTTATTTAATTTTAATTAAATGTGATTTATTATTAATTTTACAATTAAATAATTTTTGTTTAATGTTTCGATTCTTTTATAATATAGTATATTTGTTATTTTTTAATGTTTTTTTGTCAATAACATATAATTCTTTATTTGTAATGTTTAATTTAATCAAATTATAAATGCATTGTGTTATTGAAATATCTCGTAATTTGGTTATCTGCGAGTGGTGTACTATGACGACCGAAAAAATGGAATTACAAGCAAGTAATCCTCATTTCTTGGGTTCGATAGAAATGTGCGAAAATTGTGGAGCCCTGTATTTTACAGGAGAGAAGAAGAACCGTTCTAACGTACGGCTTAGTTGTTGTAAGAACGGAGCATACAGTTTGCCTTCATATTCAAACTGTCCGCAAGCCTGGAAGAACTTGTACTTAGGGAATAGTAGCAATGCTATTCGGTTCAGAAAAGAGATAAGATCTATAAATAGTATATTCGCTATAGCATCGTTCAATACCAGCAGAAGAGTCCAAAATCGCCAAGGACAACAAGGCCATGGAGTAGACACATACCCTCTATCGGTTCATGGTGTCCGTTTTTTTAAGGGCACCATCGAGCCAGAGCACAGAGGATCTCCGAGTTGGAAATTAAAAAGTAGCGATTGCTCACCCAATCATCGAAGGCTCATCCACTTCTGGCGCATGTCGCGAGGTCTACCGGTTCATACGCGCCAGCCCACGATGGGCGTAGTATCGAGAAAGAGGAGTGGATCGGGGGGAAGGCCTACCAAGCCGACCCCCTTAAATACACAGGTTGGTCAAGACTAATAACAGGCCTCGGACCCGACAGGGCAGCCGCAGAAAGGCGGTTGCTGCCAACCCTGTGGATGGTGGTAGTAGTAGTGACGATGACGATCACGAACCAGCCCCAGCTATTCACCAATGCGTGACATGCGGCGAGTCCTATTCGTCCGCCTCTGGGCTTGGGCTGCACAGAAAACACCGACATCCAGTCGAGACTAATGCGGCCATCAACGTGGAAAGGAGGAAGGCACGTTGGCCGGATGAAGAGGTAAGAATGATGGCACGTCTAGAAGTGGACGCGGTGTTGCGACAGGTCAAAAACCTGAACCAGCACCTCGTCCCGCTCATGCCCGGCAGGACTCTTGAAGCAGTGAAAGGGAAGCGGAGAAATTCCGCCTACCAGCAGCTGGTTCTTGATTACTGCGGTGCGCGAGCCCCAGGACGGAACATCACGCTGAGCTCCGAATCCTCCGACGATCCCGACTCTGCGTCCTCTGAGGACGACGTACCGGCCGAAGAGCCTTTCTTAGCCAAAATCGAATTCCTTGCGGAGGAGATTAACTTCGAAAGACTCGGCGGCCGAGCTGGCGCTCTCAGGCACCTTATTGGCGAATGCCGTCGGAGTGACATTTAGGATCGACTTCTGAAGTGGATCAGAGATTTCATTCCGACAGCAGAAAGACCAACGGGAGGCGTTAGGCGCAACGGTGCCCTCGAACGCAATGAAAATCTCTCGAGGAGAGAGAGGCGAAGGAAGAGATTTCGCCAGGTATAGCAAGCTTTCGAGAGGAACACCCGAACCTGTGCCAATCAGATCCTCGACGGCATCGAGGGCCCTCAGCGGGTGGACATTCCTTACGAGGAATTTTCGGACTTTTGGCAAGGAGTCCTTCTGACTCCGAGCACTCCGTACCATCCACCAGTTGGGGCTCCTCGGAGGCCCGAGAGGCGTGACACAGTGTGGCATCCAATAAACACCGCCGACGTCAACAGGCATCGGGTCGACTCGAAGAAGGCTGCTGGGCCAGACGAAATCTCTCCGTTAGCCTGGAACAAGGTACCACCGCCGATCATCGCGATGTAGTTTAATTCGGTCATGGCAAGAGGGGGATTTCCCGCCAAACTTGACGCGTCAAAAACCGCCTTTATTCCTAAAAAGATTGAGGACGGTGGTAGAGCTACGCCGTCGGACTTTCGTGTCATTTCGATCCTCTCGGTAACGGTCAGACATCTCCATAAGTTTCTGGGCGAGAGACTCGACAAAATCGAAGGACTTCTGGGCGACAGACTCGGAAAAATCGAAGGACTCCTGAGCGATGAGCAGAGAACATTTCGGAGTAACGTGGACGGCATTGCAGAAAACCTCTGCGTTCTTAACACGGTGCTCCGGGAATCTCACTCTCGGATCAAGACTTGTCATCTTGCGCTCCTCGACGTGTCGAAAGCTTTCGACAATGTCTCGCATGATGGAATCTTCGATTCATGCCGCAGATCTGGCATACCGGAAACTATGGTGCGGTTCGTTGAGAGTTCCTACCAGGACGCCAACACCGTTCTCGAGGTGCCAGAAGCGGGTCAGAATAACCCGTCGGTGAAGCCAGCGCGCGGAGTAAGGCAAGGAGATCGTTTAAGCCCATGGCTATTCTCTCTTGTCATCGAGCGGGCCTTGAAAAACCTCTCAAGAGACATTGGATTTGAGCTGGTTAGCATTTGTCGACGACTTGATTCTCGCGTCGTCTTCACGGATCGGATTGCAGAGCAATCTCGACAAGATCGCAGCTGAGCTGGCGCGATACGGCCTTCAGCTCAATGAAAACAAAAGTCGTGTGCTTTCCCTAGTTGCTTCTGGACGACAGAAGAAGATCAAGGTTGAGGAGAGACGTTCCTTTAGAATAGGAGAGACGTTCCTTTAGAATAGGAGAGACGTTCCTTTAGAATAGGAGCGGCTCTCGTCAACCAGATTGGGATTCTAGACCTCTGGAAGTATCTGGGGGTCTCGTATATCGGCAGACAAGTGGACGGAACCAAGGTTTCGCTGGGGATCGAACTTGAGCGCACCACGAGAGCACCACTCTCGCCACAGCAGCGCTTGTATATACTCCGGACGCACATCATTCCGCAGCACATCTTCGGATGGGTCCTCGGGAAGGTGTCGGCAGGAGATCTGCGGGCGCTTGACATCACCGTTCGAAACGCAGTTAGACGTTGGCTCCGTTTACCTAAGGACACAGCGCTTGGGTACTTCCACGCACCTATTAAATCTGGCGGACTAGGAATTCCGCGTCTAAAAGATTTCATTCCTAACCTTAGGCTCAGGCGGGCCCTCGCTCTCAGGGACTCGTCTGTACCTTTGGTCGTTGCTTGCGCTAGCGCGAGTTATATACATAGAAACTGCCCAGCTGACAATAAAAACCGCTGACTAAGAAAAGACGGCCGAGGCTAATCGCCTTTTCTTTTATATTATTAAATCATTCTCTGTTCTATCGTTGTCAAGTAAACTTGTATCAAAAGTAATAAAATTGTTTTTAAAAAGCTATTTTTCAAATTATTATATTTAATTGGCGCAGTCAGTAGGATACGCGCAGGTTTTCGGAAAAATATTGATTCGCATCGTGACGGAAAGTAACTTTTCGAGACCTTGGAGTTTCTACCCTTAAGTGCGTATCGAACTTTCATGAACTTTGTGACGTTAACGGCGCAGTGGAGCAGTGAATCACCGAAGAAGGACCAGGAGACTACAGAATTCGAATCCACGGAAAAATCTGTAAGTGCCTTTCCTTTTTACCTTTCCAAACCCCTCTGTATAAGGATTTTTGGCAAAGATAGTTAGGCTCTGTTCATAGCGAACATAATTTTTCAGTCTAATGGAGACACATAACCTTTAAGTAATTTTTAAGTTCAATTTTATCAAAATAATTTATTTTTACAATTTATGAGTGAAATCGAAGATATAGTTAGCGGATTGCTTAATATTTCCATTAAAGATTCTAGTAGTAATAGTGATAGTAACAAGAAAGAAAATAATAATATTGAAACAATTAATTCTAATTTAAATAATCAAATAGCAATGCCGGAAGTAAACTTTGAACTTTTAAGATCTAGACTTAGTAACGTTAAACCATATGATGGCAATAGCGATTCTTTAAATAAATTTTTACGTAGATGTGAGGATGTTTTGAAAGATTATAAAACTTTTAATGATGCCACACTAAATAAACATATTTTTGAATCAATTCAAGAAAAGCTTATTGACAGAGCAGAAACTTTAGTTGGTAACCGCTCTGAACTAACAGATTGGGAACATCTAAAGGCTGCACTTATTCAAAATTTCGCTGATCGTAGGGACTTGGACGGTTTAGTACAAGAACTTACGAGAATGCGACCATTTAAAAACGAAAATTTAATAAATTTTGGCAATAGTATTCAATTAATTAGAAGTAGTATTGCGCAGCGAATAAGTAACGATACTGTTCTCTCAGCTAACGATAAAGTGTGTCAAATAACCCATTTCGAAAAAACCTCACTAAATACTTTTATCGCCGGATGCGACGGCATGTTAAAAAATAATATGCATCTTAAGATACCAGCTTCACTGGAGGATGCCATGGTGTACGTTACAGAATTTGAAAATTTCCAAAATTTGTATGGACATTTTAATGACCCAAACAAATCATCGACTTCTAGACAAAGTAATAATAATTATCGTCAATCTTATACGCCAACACAATCATTTTCTCAAAATCAAAATCCCATATCTTATCCGCGAGCACCCCATGAACCCAGATTTAATAATTATAATTTTCCACGCAATCAACAACCATTTATAAATAATCGATTTTCAAATCAATCATTTCCAAGTCAACCAATTAATATTCAACCTCGACAGTTGCCTCCTAGAAGATTTCCTACAAACAGGGAAGTTTTCGGACCTCCCCGAAATGCTTTCAGGCCTAACCAAATCCCCCCAAATCAACTCCCTAATCCGACACCGATGTCGACAACTTCCAGAAACCCAACTATGATGTCACGAAGACAAAATTCAAATTTCAATCGTAATAACTATTTCCAAAATCGCAATAATGCACCTCCCAATTTTACTTCTGAAGAATTATTCGCGAACGAATACGATTCAGAATATTTTATTGAATCTCCCGAAAATTTCTATTATCAAAACCACTCTGAAGATTATAATTCATTTGACCCTGACGAAACTTTTAACATTTCTAATTCAACCCAAGCAAGTTATTCAGGTAACCTAAATGAAAATAGCAAAAAGGGAAATTTTCCCAAAACAAGCCTCGCGAACAACCAACCCTAATAGAAATTAATATTTCGTCAGAAAATGCTCTACCGTACGTTGAAATAAACGAACCTAAATTAAAACTGCTTATAGACACGGGCAGCTGGCGATCAATAATTAAACCTGTAGTCATAGAAAGATACTTCCCAAATTCCATGTATAGAATAGATGCACAAATTAAAACAGCTGTAGGAACACGAGACATTTCTTACCAAGCAACAATAAAAGCTTTTCCCGAATTTAATACTAATTATAATATGTCATTTTTATTATTTGATTTTCACGACTACTATGATGGTATCATAGGACTAAATGATTTAAAAAATATGAATTTAAATATAGATTTAATTAATAATAGGTTAATAGGACCGAATCTTCAAATACCCTTTAAGTATAGACAACGAGAAGATTCAAATTTCTCGCAATTTCTCGCAGTAGAAGCACAACAAAAAATGCTAAAAAGATTACCAGTTAGTATATATAATGGAGAAATATTAACTATAGGCGGTAAAATAGGAAATTTAGATATTCCAGAAATTCTTACACAGGCAAAAAACGGTTTTGCACTAATAGAAATTCAAAATAATTCCAACGAATCAATTTCAGTAACATTAAATGAACCAATACCAGTAAAATCTTTCGAAACTTCAAATTATGAAATATATAATATTGATTCATTTTTAAATTTAAGTAATAAAGAAACTAATTATAATCAAAAAATCGA